AAAAAAAACAGTAAAATATTTAATCCTCAAAGCTAATAAATTATTTCTTGCGCAGATAAACTTGTTTGTTTATAACTTTTGTGCATGATTAATGTTAATGATTATTATATTATTTGCTTATATTTACTTTTGTCGCTTAATAAATAATTTTTTCATTAATTTAAGCAATTTTGTAATCACATAATCATTTTTGTATGTTTTATTACACGGATTTCATCTCATACTTTGTTTATTAAGTTTTGTTTGCGTGGAATTCACATACAGTAATCTGCAAATTTTCAATTTATGTTGTAAGGAAATTTCGGAGAATGCAACAAAAACAAAAATTTTTACAGTTATCAAATAACATGTGGTAATAATATTCCTTGAGACTTTGGATAGACTGAAATTAGTGAGTGATAATTTTTGGAACATATGTTTCAAGGAGACTTGTGCAACGGTCAGTTTTCGTTTAACATAATAAAATTACACCTAAATTCAAAAATAACATGACGTGTAGATAGCGTGTACATATCATTGCACGTATGGATATGTCTGATTATTTATTACTCAAAAATGTTTTTTATAGGAACATTTTTTCCCCTGCTTGTATTAATCAGTCAGTACTAATTGAATTTAGACGTGATAAATTTTCAAATTGGCGCATAACTTTTATTTTAAAAAAATGAACTGACGCTAAATGATTGATTTAAATTTCAATAATAGTTGAAATGTAAAAACAATTGTGATTGCATGTGAGTGATAATAATGTGATTGACCATACTGACAAGGTCAAAGTAAAACTGTCAAAAAGTCAATTTGACGGAATTAAATATTTTCTTCATGACAAATCGAATTACAGTGAATAAAAACATTCTGTGTTGCTAGCAAATATTTAGACAATTTAATACCCTTTCATATCTTATCAGTGATAAGATTGATCAAAGATGTTTAACTCTGCACAAATCTAATGTATTATCTCAGCAATTATTAATGCGAAAAAATTAGTAATAACAAAAAAATTTGAATTTTTAAGTTTTTAAACAACTCTATTTTAAGTGACATTAAAATTTTTTACTATTAATACAGTTGAGTTGATATGTTTGAATTTGTAAATGGCAACAAGGTCAAGGTTGAGAAAGGTCATTAAAGTAAGTATAAACGAATTGAAGTCCATTCCGAGTAATGTTATAACGGTCATATTAAAAGTGATAATTTAATTTTTAAATTACTTGCACAGTTTTTTCAACCATTATTGACACATTTTTTTGATTTTCGAGATGCAAATATTTCTGCTTGTTATATTTGCTTCTTTGTACTATCCAAGTGTAAGTTTTGCTTAATTTATTTAATTATATACATCTGTTTGCTTATTTTTTAGTATAGTTTAGTCAAAAAAATGAAAAGGAAAAGCTACAAATTAAATTAACTCCAAAATTTTAAATTTGAACATTATTATTTTGCTATTCATTTGATAAAATTATAAATAAGACCAAAAGAAAATAGACTAAGCTCAAAACTGATCTTATATTTTTTGCTTAATTAAATTAGCAATTAAAATTACATCTCTTATTTAGGCAAGTATCCAAAATGATGTAACTTCGAATGATTATGCTGAAGTCCGCGCACTTCTGAATAAATACTATGAAACTACGGCACAAAAATATCGTACCTTCCATGATTATGTAAAGACATTTATTATTAAAATTATTTTTTATTATTTACTAAGAAAATATTATTGAATATTTGAATAAATTTAATTGATATTAACTCTTTTTTACTAAGTTAAATTAAAAATATAATTAAACGACATTGCCATTACTTTACTACAAGCCAAATTAGAAATATTATTGTAGAAAGAACAAAATTACCAAAATAAAAAGAAAAATTACATAAAATGTAGAAAATTTGATCTCCTATAAGAATTCGTTTAAAAAAAATTCTGTTAACTTTAAAAAATAATGATAGGTTATGCCCTGCAAGTATGATTTTTAAGCAATTTAGGTTAATCTTGTGAGTTTTTTGATGATTACTATTCTAAATTATAACTTTATCTTAAACTACAGTATTTTGGCCTCGTTTTTGGGAATTATTATAGTAACAAAATTATAAAAAATACCTAAAACAGCAACAAGCTAGAACTTATCAGTAAAGTAAGGATGACTAAAGGCATAGCAATTTTAAAATTTACAATAAAAACAATGATTTCAACTTTTGCTACAGAATTCGAAAATAGTGAGTAATGCATTGAAAAATATTCCGACTAATGATGGTACTGAAGCAAGTATTAATCGAAGAGAAGGGGTCGTAGGTCATCTCTTTGAAAATGATATCTTGTTAACACTTCCTCAAGTCAAATCTCTGCTCCGATCAAACAAAAACAGTACGTTTGTATTTAATTTCTAAGAATAACAGAGAAATGTAAAATGTTACTTTTATTTAATAAAAAGATTTTTTGGAAATAAATTGCATTTTTAAAATGAATTTTTTTATTACTGTGAATGAACTTTATTTTTTTACAAATACAAATATGTTTTGTATTGAATACTTTTGTACACAACTCTTTTGTACACTAAAATCTGACATTTCCTTTCTACTCACAAAATTTTTCAAATTTCTACTAGTAATAATTTCGAAAGTTTTTTGGTAATTTAAATTTAATAACTAAATAAATGATTAATATAATCGGAAATGGTCTCACTTTAAAAGCCAAATTGAATATAATTCAATCAAATGTGTTTAATTTCTTATTTTTTAGTTTTTTACTATTATTAAATTGGAATATATAAAAATAATAAATAAAATAAATCTTAGATTTGGGCTATTTAGCAAATAATTTTGATATTTGCCTTGAAGAATTATACTTTCTTATGGTTTGCATTAAAGTTAGAGAAAAATTTTAGAAGAATGTGATCGGATTTGCAAAGCAAATAATTAAAATATTTGATCAAAGCTTCGTAATATCGATAATTATCAACAGAATATTAATTTTTGCTCATTTTATCAGGAAAAGACCGGCAGGCAATTCGAGGAACACAATATGAATGGAAAAAAATGCCTATTGCATATAAATTTGCCTTTCCTGATGGTCAAATTAATTTTTACCTTTGACCTTACTTATAACATCCAATATTATCGAATCGTTTTTAGATCTAATTTTTTAACAAATGCATTCATATAATGTAATTACTGGTTTTTATGAAAAGTGTAAATGTTGAAAAAAAAAAAAACGCTATTTTTCTACTTACAATATTTACAAATTCGATATGTTAATAACAAATACGTTGGACAGATAAATGGCAACGTTTGATTCGTATTACCTTACGTCAAATTGAAATGGAAACATGCGTACGTTTTCGGGTTCGTTTCACATTTTTTGTTGGTATAAAAATGGTTATGTAAATTACAAAATGTTTTGAAGTAAATAATTTATCCAAAATCAAATCTTTCAAAATTTTTCTTTAAATGATCATTTTTGTGAATATTAAAAAAAAGCATATTATTCATAATTTTGGAACATCAACTGAAGGCTTTATTTTTTTTCTCAATATAGTCAGTAATAATTTATTTAAATAAAAATGGTAACAGCATTAAAAATAAGAGTAGATTCATTTTATTATATTTTTTTACCTTTTTTGTTTATTTTAATAATAGTAATTTGGATGTAAAATGATAGTAACAATATTAACAATAATAATAACATTACTACTACTAAAATTAATAATATTAATGATAATAGCAATAATAATAATAATAATAATAATAAATATTGATAATAGTGATAAAGAATGAAGCATATAAATGTAATTTCAAAAATAATGTCACCATTATGCAGGAAAATGCAGCACATGAAGATTATATACTTTTTATACAAGGTAATGGATGTTGGAGTAATGTTGGCCGAATTGGAGGTCCACAACTGGTTTCTATTGGATTTGGATGTGAAGCGGTAAAATATCATTTGATGAATACTTAAAAATTTATTACAAAATTCAAAATAATTTAAATTCCAAATGACGTCATCAATAATATCTTATAATATATAAAAAAATAAGCAAAATTGTTATTTTCATTCTTTTTTTTCAGTTATTACACTTTAATTTGATTTTGTTTATGTCAGTTTTTAACTTAAAATATAAAAAAGCTTTGCATAATATGTGGTGTAATTTTTTGTCGAACAAACGATCAAATTTTGGAGTAATTTAGCAAAATTATTTTTAATTTCAATAATTTCATTATATTTTTGTGTAATTTTCAGACTGGTATAATTGCACACGAAGTACTTCACGCATTAGGCCTTTGGCATGAGCAGTCACGTGACGACCGTGATAACTATATTAAAATTAATTACGATAATATATATGCGGTAGGAATAATTTATAAAAAAATGTATTCTAATAAATTGCTGTAAGCATTAATTTGCATTATTTTTTAATTTGTACTTATAGGGTACAGAAGGAAACTTTGAAAAACGATCACAGGAAAATAGTGATAATATGGGTCTAAGTTATGATCTCGGATCCGTAATGCATTACGGTGCTACAGCTTTTACTACTAATATTCACAAGTATCAGTTTAAATTGGTATTTAAGTAACAGATATTCAAATGTTAACGCTTGACAAAAATTGAAAAATAAGTTCAGATAACTCTCCAAGTAAATCGATTAAATCGATAAATTACTCACCAAGTTCAGGAATATGTTAAAAATAGGGATAAGTTATAAAACATGCGTAAAAAACCTATGAAATAAAAACTTGTTATTCAAAGACTTGTAAAACAGCTCGTAATATTGCTTAAATGAAAAATCAAAACACAAAAATTGAAATTCTTACAATACAAAAAAAATTCCAGCATAGATCTGAAACAAAAATGCTTATTACTTGATAAAAAGCAATAAAAAATTTTATGCATTGTTTTGTAAACTTCATTTTTGAACTAACTATTACTGAAGAAGTGTGAATTGGTTTACGAGTAACAAAAGTATTGTAAACGTAAAATTGACGCCAATTTTAGATTAACAATAGAAACACGTGAACAGCTTTATCAACAAACCATTGGACAACGTATGGGAGTTTCATTCAAAGATGCAAAAATAATTAATTTAAGATACTGTACAGGTTTGTTCTTTATAAGCTTAAGATTGGAAAATTAAAAACATACCTTTTGTCAGCATAAAGTTCAAAAATCATCCAAGATAAGTCCTTTTTAATCACTTTATAAGCTAAAAAATATAGTTAATAGTTGTCTTTACTAAAAAATTCAACTTTAAAAGAATTGCAAGTAATATAAACATTTTAGAAGTACTAAAGGTTAAAGTTCAGATATTTGTGCACATGAAAAAATTTGCTACAATGGAGGATATGTAAATCCAAATAACTGTAGACAGTGTAAATGTCCAGCTGGCTTTGCTGGTGATGATTGCTCATCTGTTGAAAAAAGCAGTAAATTTTTAATTTTATTTTTTCAAAAATTCAAAAATTAGTCAAAATCTGTATATAATTCACAGAATACTTATTTTTTTACATTCATCATTCAGTACTCACAATAACACAATTCTCTCCAAAAACTGTAAAATATACAACTATATTTTTGATACTGAACCTTTTACAAGCATATTTTCATTAATATAAAATAAGTTGTTGAGAGTTCTTATTTGGTTAGCATTTCAAATTTTTGAGTAATATATTTAACAACTAATTTAAATTTGAATTATTGAAATTGAAATCGAAGAAAGCTTAACTTTGTAGCATCAAGCAAATGTGGTGGGGAGTTACTAGCTGCTTTTGATTATCAAAGTATTAATAGCACTAATCTCGATGGTGATAACATTCGTTGCATTTGGAGAATAAAGGTTAGTCACCAAAATGAGCTACTGTAACTGTAAATTTAAACTTAATTATCAATAAATTAATCAAAAAATTAATAGATAAACAAAGCTAATAACTTTTCACTGTACATCACTGAAAAATATTTTTGTAAACTTTTTTTACTAAAAGTTTTTACAAAAAAAAAAGTATTACAGCTTTGAAGCGCATAATTTTTAATGGGAAGCTGTAGTAGAAAACAACTATAATTAATTCTGATCATATTTTTGTCTCAAATATTACAAGTCAAAAATAAAAAATTTGAAATTCAGTTTTTGCTGAAAAATAATAAAAATTGCACATTACATTAATCATTGAGTGGCTGACTATTTCACTTTAAAACTATACCAGAATTTAGTATTTTACTGTAAAAAATTTCAGATTCTCCACAATTTTTCTAAGAATTCTATTCATGAATGATATCAGAATAATAATAATAATAATAATAATATCATTCGCTTGAGCAGACTACTCATGATTTTCGCTTTCACTTTAATCAATATGCTCTTTTCGTACTTTTTGAATTAATAAGTTAATTTGATTTTGAAAGTTCTAAATTTGCATAAATTACAGTCACAAACAAGAGTGGTGATGTATGTTGAGGAACTGAAATTGCCTTGTCAAGAACCGTGCTCGAGTTATTTAGAGTTGAAGTACAGATCTGATATGTCTGCAACTGGTAATCGCTAATTATCTAATTTAATTAGACAGAATGATTGCTTTTCGTACTGTAATTGTTTGCAATTCACATTTTATTAATAATTGAAAATTTGTCAAAATTTGACTTTAATTAGAAAAAATTCAAACTAATTTCGAATGTTTGTAAGAAAACTATTTATTTCAAGTTAGTACTTAGTCTGAGCTAGACTAGAATTAAACTGCAAGATTCATTTCAGTTATAGGTTTTATTTTAGCAAGCAGTTAGACGTATTCTTAAATAAATTAAAATAGTAAAATATTATTTGAATTAATTATTATACCAGTAATAGTATTAAAAATAATAACAACAAAACAAAAATAAAAAGCTGCGCAAAAAGCAAAATTCACTTTAGTTCATGAAAGTATAATTTAAATGCTTTCAAAACTATCATATTTAATAATATACCCTCCATTTATATCTTGAAAGCATATTTTTAGACTATATTTTCAAATAACCTATTTTTGAACTTTACTCTAAAACTTTTAAAATATTTAAACAAGTTTCATTGACTAAAAAAATTTGATTTAGGCCCACGTCTGTGTTGTAACAAACCGATTGAAGCCATAACAAGCGAGACGGATACTTTTGTTGTTATCTATGCTACGAATGCCAATAATGATGATCATTTCACTCACAGCTTCAAATTACAGTTCAGAAAATGTAATCGTTGATTTTATTGAAAATTAAATAATATAGCTAAGAGATTAGATCAAAACTTGTATCAGAAATGTAATTTTTACTTTTAAAATAAATTTTAATTTAATTATTTCAGTGAGTCACAAGGGACTGTCTCAAAGATAGTTGTAAAAAACATAAATAAACAATGAGAATAACCAAAAATGGAGAAGGAATTACGGAATGGAATAATATTACTTAATTAAATGATTTGATAACATTTTCAGATAATCCAAAGCGAGTGACATTGCCTCCATACAGTACTACTTCAACAGTAAACTCTTGCTTTATTTATTATTATTTATTATTAAATAGTTCTTCTTGTGGAATTTGAAAATGTCAATATATATCAAATTTAACATTGGAATGAAGGATTGATGAATTTGTCTTAAGATTGGTATTAGGATCAGTTACTTATTGATATGACTTGCTTGATTCAAAAAGAATTTGAATATAGGTCAAATTTTTATCAGTACTAAAGTCAGGTCAAAATTTTTTATACTTTTAGCAGACGACAATTCATAAAAAATCACCACCACCAAAAACAACAACAACGACAACAACGACAACTACTACTAAAAGTTTGAATTTGTAGAAAAAATTTACATCGAAATAACAAACTTATGCTAAGTATGAAAAGAACTAAATCTTTTCAGAATATCAGAAGGAATTTTTGATTTTATTTTTTCCATATTTGTTTTTTGTTTGTCTCTAAAATTCAGGAACCAAACTTGAAACTTGATAATGAAGCTCTATAACTGGTAAAATTATACGGGGTTATTCATAGTGACCTTAACTATTCAGTTAATTCAATTTGCATAATACTTTGAAAATTATTCAAAAAATGGTCTAAAAATTGAATGAAATTGTTGAAAAAGTGATTGGCGTTTTTGGTTTTATTTAATTTTTGTATTTTATATTTTACAATTTCTCATTAGTAGTTTTGACAATTGTTTTATTGTTTAATACAAGAAATGGTTTATTTGCATTGAATATAAATTTGAAATTTTTATTTTAGGAGATTAATTTTAAAAAATTAAAACAACCAAAGGATAGAATTAACTGCTTAAATTTAGAACCAGCACAATGGAGTGAGTGGGGTGAGTGGAGTACTTGTTCGGTTTCTTGTGGTGGGTGCGGTGTGCGACGGCGGATTCGAGCTTGTTATGGTGGCAATCGTCAGTGCCCGTAAGATTTATCAAAATTTACTGAAATACTTAATTTTTACTTGTGTATTACATTTTCTAATTTTATGTTAAATCTTTCACAAAATCAAATTTTTCTACAGTTTTACATTCAATGTCACATTTTTTTGCTAACAAAACCAAGGTTTCTAAATTATTATATCACTATTTTACAGTAATCGTTAATTATAGATCAGTGTTGCATAAAATAAGTAATTTTTCAATACAAATTAGTATTACAGAATAAAATTTGTCTATATTCTTTCAAAAAATGAAATGTTTATTAAGACAACAATTTTCTTTTGCTACAATGAGTCGAACTTTTTTTTATTACAAAAGTAAATACAATACTGTAAAAACACTATATACAATATTGTTGTTGACGTGTACACTACTCGTTGACAAACATTTTCTCAATTCCCCATAACAGAATAAAAACGTTATATTACGTGAAAACGCCAATAAAAATAATATGGTAAGAGTACTGTCTACTTTAAATAAATCTTTAATTTCAATGATAGCGTTATAATTTGAAAATATAGAATGCAAATAGGGAATATTGTCTTTATAAGGTAATTTTAACTTATGCATATATTTGCTATTTGCGATAACTTTTGAAGTGCAAATAGTTATTGTTTCTCTTAGATTACTGTATGTAAATAAAGTCTCTTAAATTGGTTCTAAAAATATTTTTATAAATTTTGTACTGAGCAGTATTTTTGAAGATGTAATTATTTTAGAGGTTCTAAAGAAGACGTAATGGAGTGTGGTGCTAGAAGATGCCCAGTTTGGGAACATTATGATTGTTATACTCGATTAATTATGCCTTGCGACCTTCTTCAAAATTTACAATTTATTACTGAAAAAGGTACTGATTGATCAATTAAATCATATTATTATTGATTGATCAGCTTATTCACTACGATCAAAAATCAGAAATCAATTTGAGTTTTATGGAAAAATTTGAACTTACTTACTTTAGCACTTTCATTGTCATGTCTTGTAATCCTGAAAATGAAAAACAGAATGTGAAATTTGTACACTTTTCGAAATCTCATTGAATTTTACACTTAATTTTTTTTTTCAATCACAAAGTTAGTAAGCTACTAATGGCTTAACTGACGCACTTAGGATTTTTGAATAATTTAAATGAAGTTAATAACAGATGTTTATGTGGTATTCAATGAGAAAAAGCATATTTCGAATCAGTGGAAACAGAGTATCAGTGACAAGAAATTGGCAGTTTCTAGAAGACGAATGTGTCAGAAGTAAGCTTATTATTTCGCAGAGTTTTTGTATTCTGATTCTCAGCATTAAATGGGATTACAGCAATCGTAATTGCTACAGTACTCTACATTCTTTGAAAAATAATGAAAATTCATAGCTCAGTCAAACATTGTATATCGTAGTTATTAAGGTATTTCAATCATCAATGCTCAACGTCCATTATGACTTTCCGCATGGAATGGAATACTGAAAACAAGAAGGATCAGAGTGATTTGGATGAACGAGGATGCTGTCACGGATATCATTATAATAACACTGCCTGTGTACCAATTAGAGACGCAATTTTTTACAGTAGTTAAATTATTATTTTCAAATGTTATTCTCAATTTAAACATCCTCAAAGTAGAAGTTAAACTGTTTTCCAGTTTATCCAATTACCGAGGGATTGATTAACAGCAATAATTTTGTAAATTTGAATTTTACGGAAAAGTTTAAACTTACTTAAGTTGTAATTAATTGAACGAGACGAAGATGAAGTGAAAAATTTCAAGTCTTTTTTAAAAAAATTTGAAAAGCTGAAATGACCTCTCGAGCTATTTCAATAACAACTTTTTAATTATGCAATTTCTTGAAAGCATGAGTTTTTCTTTGTTGCACATTTTCTAGCTTGACCTCTTTAGAATGACCTTTTTTTGGACTTTTGATTTTTTAAGAGTAACAAGCCAAAGCATAAAGTTTAATCATTGGAAAAACTATCGAATATCAACGAGAATAATATTCGTATACGAATTATTACATGCTAAAAGTAAATTGATGCCTTGCCTTATGAGATTACGATAAGGATCTAACTATTAAGATATTTAATTTATTGTATTGGCGCAAACGTTCAACATTTATACTTATAATAAATATGAAATTTTCAATTCCTTGTACTTATTTTACTGTTCACTATTGAATAACTCATATTTTTATCGCTTCGGTTTTTTCCATTGTCCTTTAAATTAAAGGTTTTATGCATATCTGAAGAATAGCTTAATCCAAATTTGCCTACACAGCAGGCAATATTCTCCAACTATACAAATTAACTTTTACTTGTGTTACGAAAATCGATACATATATTTGCACATAAAATCTATCGATTATCCATCACACGGAATCTTTAAGACAATCCTCACGTCAATCTAACGTTAACAAAGTCATTTAATGTAATTTATGAAGCACAATAGCCACGTTTAACGCTTTTACACTTCTGCCACATTTCTCTTCTTAAAAATTGCAAATGCTTTAACTTTCATTGTTTACAGAAAATTAATGCGATCACAGCTTAATCAGCATTAATTATCCAATTCCAATCTTGTAATAAGTAATTAACGATTCATCAAACTTCAAACAGCAAGCTTCGCCTCAAAAGTGAATCTTATGCATATTTTGTCGCAAAGTATTAGAAGGCAAATTTTACACTTTAAATCTTAAATATCGATGCACATTTTTTTGAACGACTAATTATTTTTTACTGACAGCAAAGTGAGAGCTATCCTACTATTGATATCTTACTGCTTACATACCGTATTTTTCTTCATGGAACGTTCTGATCACTTTTTGCAGAAGGTCAAGTTGTAGTTTCATTTCCTCTTGAGTCGCAAGAACACGTTGCATTGCAATGTACGCATCATGAGCCACCTGCAGTTATCACTTTGCATTCTTAATTAGAAAGTAATATGCAAATCTAAGGACTAGCATTGTCTGGGAATGTCCTTACAGAATCTTCTTTTATGACGAAGATTCATAGGATAATGTATCTATGTATCTCTCGTACAGTTCTATCGCTAGACGTCACTGTTCGTTTGTTTTCATCAAAGTCACATTACTCTGAATCTATCTTCTTCTGATTACATCAAAATGATCTCTTGTTCCATTAAGATAATAAATATCTACAAATACTTGGAAAAACATTTACAATATATCTGACTAGTAATGAAATAAGTCAAATTATTTACATGACTCTTAGCGCAAGTACTTACGAGATTCAAGCTTCGAACAGATTGAAATCCCTCTCCACTGAATATGCGTATTTTATGTTTGACATGACGGAAGCTATAAGTTCATAAAATTTAGCAGAATATAATGAGCGCATTTTAGTATGCACAGACATGGAAAAAAATCGTTGAAATTAGTACACGGAATCTGCGTGGCACGTAATTTATAACGCTTAACGCTTATATGAAATAAAAAATTGTTCGTTGAGCTGACCTCTCATTTGTATTGAAATAAAAAAAAGCAGTGGTTAACATTTGTTGCTAATTAATAAATGGCTAATATTTAAAGATAATTAATTTTAAGGTTTATGAAAACTGAAAATTATCATTGACACAAATTTTTTACAGAAATTGTTGCATACTTTTTTATAGCCTTTAAAAATTTTCTTTGATGTTGACGTAAAATACTATTTGTATTTCGATTAGTATTATGCCATGATGAGAAACATTTATAAATATGCCACGTATTTTGAAGTACACGTGCTGCAGCGTCTTTATATTCTTTACTGAGCCGTGAATCGTTCATAAAATTGTTTACATTACGTTGAGCTTCAGATAACAGCATTTTACGCGAAATCACAGCAATCATTATGGATGACACTGCAGCACCCTGCTAATATTTACTTCAAATTTGAATCTTACAAATTGCTTATTCTGGTCATAAAACATTCAAAATTAAATCTGTTTTTCAGTTTTAAACTTTTAAATTTGGTTTTTATTGCTGAAAAAACTATTATCGTATGCACAAAAATTACCCAAATAAATCAAATTATTTCTTGAATTATAGAAAGCAAATGTTATTTCATTTAAATTTTACTCATAAGTTAAATAAAGTAATTTATTAAGAATCTAGAGAGATTTATTGCTGAGCGCAAAAGTCTGCAAGTAAATATTCTTTCAAGCCACAAAAAGAAATGCCAACTAACCACCACACCCACAGTAAGAGCAACAGCTCGACCACAATGAGTATGAGGTACCAAATCACCGTAACCATTTAACATAAAGGTTATTCCTGAAGACAAGCATATTCCCGACAGTTATGAACAATTTGCGCAAAAAACAAACAGAAAAGAGATAAAAATTATTCAACTGATCAGTTTATTCCTGATCAGCGTAAAATTTCAACTGATTAGCTAACCAATAAACCAAAGCGCATTTGAGTACAGTAATAAGATCGATTCTTCTTGACCATATCTGAAGAAATAAATGACTTTTACAAAACTTATTTAGTTATTCATCTTAAAGTTAGGACAAAATATTTGTTACCTTGTAATGATTTTGCAGAAATATTAAACTAAAAAATACTTAAACTTGTTTTAAATATTTTTCTGTGAGCATTTGACTAAAATGAAAATTTTACTAATTTATATTTCTTTTTTTTGTAAAATTCAAGACAGAGAATTTAAATATTTAAAAACTACTTGTGCTATTTATCGATTGATTTTTAAATTTTATGGCGATTGTTGCAAACTTTGATGATATGAAAACTGTTAAAAATAAAATTGATATCAATTGTGTTTGTTTAAAAAAATGATAACAAATTAACCGTTCACATTGAGCAAATGTCCACGCACTAATAATCCAGAAGACAATAGTAAAAGTAGTAAGGAAAGCAACGGGATGTTGATCTAGTATGGTCTTCATCACAAATGAAAAATTGACTTGAATTTGATTCAGTGCTGCTAAAGTTCGAGTTGAAGCATCCTGCAAATAAAGTAATTCTGAATCAATTTTTTATTCTGAACAGATGATGAATTGCAAATTCGTTCTTGTATGTGAATAATTTTGATAAAAATAACACGTAAAATTCATTGCTATATTTTAGAAGCTAAATTTAGCATCAAAATAAAATTTGCACTTACCTTATCAAATTTTAATAATTGAAATTTGGTGCATAAAATGATTTAATTTATTGTTTTAATTTCTAAATATATTTTTTTGAAATAAATAAATTGCTTACCTGAAATTGTTTGCTATGAAGAACCATAAAACGAGCAATTAGATAAACTCTGATAAGCATCAACAGAGATAAAATAATATCAACGGGTACTTGCTTGGTCGTAATATACTGATGGATTTGATCTGTTTTCATAAATGTCCAATTTATATATCCCGTACCTTATAGATCAATAGATAAATAAATTGGTCAGTATATAAATCAATTGATCCATAAGACAAAAATTTAACAAATTACTGGTGCAAAATACTTTAATACTTCTTAACAAACAAATGATATAAGTCAGATATAATTATCAAGTGACGTGACCTTTGTAATCTGTTTTAACTAATATTTTGAAAATTTTAAATGTTAGTATATTTTCAATTATTATTTTTTTATAACTTTGATTGCATAAAAATTTGTAATAAAGTTTTCAAACATACCAGGAAATGGACAAATAGCACAAGCAATAATTTCAAAAATAACTTGAGCAATATTTTCGAATGATACAACAACTCTCCAGTCATCCGATCCACAATCGAACATTTCCAGCTTAAAAAGAAAAATTTACTAACTTGTTGATATAAGAAATTATGCAAAATTATCGCCAAATTAGTGATTATTCTGGATAACTTTATTTTGCTTTTTAAGATATTGAATATTTTGAAATGATAAAGGTTAGAGGTTACTGTTTACTTGATGGTATTTTGACTAGAAAAAGTTTCTAAATCCTTATTCTAACTTTTATTTCATTGATATGGTAGAGGAAGATTTGCGTGAGGAGAATAAGCGTTGAACAGGCGACAATTGACCGTAAAACCAGTGATACGGTGCAGTCCTATCAAAAGTTCTCTTGAAGGCTAAGGGATTAATTCATTCGAAGAGCTTAAATTTTCTCTAAATATTCTACGGCAAATAAATAATAATTAACTATAAATATTTCAAGAATATTTGGTCAAAATTAAAATTATTGAAATTTATTAATATATTTCTTTTTCTTGCAAAATTTAATTGCATCCAATCGTTTTTTCATTAAGCTAAATAATGCCCAATATGTGTAAAATAAATTAAAAAATGAATTCTGAAAATTGCTAATTAAAAAAATTTAATATTAATAAGACAAAATAAGCCATTTAATCTTTATATACTTCTTCGATAACATTCAAAAGTTTCGAGCAATCATTTTTGATTGTAAACTCAAATTTTGGCAATAATAATGTTTAGAAGACAGAATCATACTTTAGAGTGATGCAATGATGGCTGCGCAGTAACTTCGTTATCGATAATCATGAATAAAACTCCAATCAGAGCAAGAATCACACAACGATCATTTAGTTGTACGCTTTTTTTAAGACATTTTGATCGAATTTGATAACTTGCTGCCATATTTTCCACTTGTAAACCATTCCTAATCAAAAGCTTAGATAATATTTAGTCTAAATCTGCTTATGAATAAAGTATATTTAATTTGGCATAGAATATAACAAAGTGAACTTTTGGGAAAATTAAATTTGCATATTTAGTACATATGAAAAATGTACGAATATAAACTTTCTATTCAGTATTATATATATTGCATCACGTCACTTAGTTTACATGATAATTTTGTTAAACGTTCCTTCAGAAATATAAAATAAGGCTGGTGATAAATATTTTATTTTTGCCGTAAGATTTTGTTGTCAAGGCAAATGATGGTAGCTCACTGTCTTTATTATGTACAATATACAGTACCATATCAAAGAATACTTGACTAATCATTTATTGCTTTCCATATTTATATTTTCAAAAATTAATCAACGAAATTGCTACATGTCAGTGAAAATTTGCTATATTGTTTTTCATTATATTTTGTTGAAAGTTTCAAATTTCAGATCAAATTTTGATATAACCACAGTATATTTTTGGTTTTCAAGATAAAACGAGTGAATTACGGTCTACTAAATAAACTTACAATCTGAGATATTGTGACCTATAGTAATTTTTTGAAATTGACCTATTTGGTGAGTTGTTGTACATTTGCTCGCCATTTTCCAATTGTTCATTATGCAGGGATTGAGAAGGTGAAAGTGATGAGCAAATTGATGGCTTAGTCGTGGATGACTGTAGTTTCCACTTAATTTCATCTGCAACTCTTTTCGCAAAAGTGTTACTATTGCCATATATACCGTAAACATTGTTTTTATAATGTAAATTATTATATTTTGTGTAGTTAAAAACTTGAATCTTTTATAATCATTACTTACACAAATTGGAAAGAATGAATGATCCTTGCGTATCATTATTAATGTTTTGAGAAATTTTTGGGGCATTATTACGCCAGGAATCACTTTCAGAGATGGGTACTTCATTACCATTTCCATCATCAATTTTTGTGTAAGCAGATGGTAAGCTTCCAAGTTTTTGCCTAGATGTGAGTAAATTTCGGAATCTTTGTCGATTACCGTATAATCGCAGCAAATCAGTACTCACCTAAAAACAAGTGTTTAATAATAGTATAAAATTGAATAAAAAGTTTATATTAAAAAGTAAAATAACCTTGATCAAAGCATTAGTATCACGAGCACATGCACTACTGTAATCAAACGATTTGGTGTTTTCAAGAATTCTTGTATGCATTGGGGCACGGTATCCTTCATGTTGAACTGATGGAGCTGACGCAGTAGCTTCTACCTTAACTCAATTCTTTTTTTAAAACTTGCACAAAAAAGTTGATTAGTTAATTGATGAGATCATAAATTTCGAATTCTAGTCTTTCATTCCACTATTTTCATTTCTGTATTTTTACAATTTAATTATCAATTACATTGCACTTTTGGAATTTAATTAATTGCTCAAAAAGCAAAATACTTTAAGCAAATCTCATAGCCTTCCTTTGTCGTTGTTCTATCTATACAGAACTTTCAATAAAATAAGCTTTATTAAGTGAAATTGTCTTAGTGCTGCAATTACTTTACTTCTAATATTTTTCTTTCGCAGGCTTATATTTTTCCGAAATCATAAAATAATAATTTGAAAAATTAAAATAAATTTACATATTTACTGTGAAATTTGTGCAAAATATATTAATTAACGTTAATTTTAGGATAAAAAGTTAATGTTAGAAAAAGAAATATATATGAAAACTAATACGCAAATATATCTTTTATACGCATTTTGATATTGCAAATTATCGAAAAGGTTTAATTTTTGTTTCAATTTGAATATGAAACCTTTTTGGACATAAAAACGTTGCATAGAGTAAACTGATATTACGAAAAGTAATTAACGTAAGGAAAAGTAAACGTTTCTGAAATGAAAGTTTAAAAATTATCATCGAATATTGAATAACTAAGAGTTTACTTTTGAATTATTCAGTTTGATTGAAAAAAATTTGATATTTTTACACAGTAATAGCATTTTGATATAGTTTAGGGTATGCGTACCAAAGAAAAGCTACGGCGTCGTTGTTGACCATTCAACGTGGATGAATCAACTGATATCATATGGCGTATATTTGTAAACGAGTAATCACGTAGCAAGAAGCATGCACAAGTGTAAAGGATTACCTGTAATTATTATCATTAACCTCTTGCCTGTAATTATTGCCAAAACCTCTTCTTTACGTATTCATTACACTAAAACTTGTTACCTAGCAACCACACCTCTCATGAATTTTTTCAAATAAAAAAAAACTCAAAAATTTCACTACAATTTTACACTGACGGAAATATTCCGTGAAAAAGACTAATTGAGATAAAATTTTAATTTTTTAAAATCAATTTCTTACTTTACAGAGAGCTTTATCATTGATAGAGACATCAAATCTTGAAGTAAATTGCAGGTTTTATAGATTTCTGCCATATTACAACAATATCTTTGCAATTAAATAACTTAAGTTGTGTAAAATATTCTACTTTAAAATAAACTACATTATTTCTATTGTATGCTAATACCGATGCTGAGAAGATTGCTTCTAATATATCACTACATAGTAGTACTGAAGATTACTGTAGCAGATTTGCCCCAGTAAATAATTTATAAGGTTATTTTCAGTATATTAATGCGCAGTAACTTAGTTTTCTACTATCTGATCTGTAGAAACAGTATGCAATAGGGCTACAAATTTATCACCTAGTACATATTACAGATTTTTTTGCCAGTGAAAAACTTAAAAAGTGTTGACTAAAGCTATTGTAATTCAATAAAATACTGTATATTGATGCTAAAAACTTAATAAAGTATTGTGCATTACTCAATAACAACAAAATGCTTTAGGTTTTATTTTGCTATACTAAATTTTAATTCTGTTACTAATATTTACTGAATTATTGCATACTGTTTCTCACTGATAAGCACAGCAATTAGTAAGTTAGGTTTATTTCATATTAATTTATTAAATGCTAAAAGTGAATGTATTGTTACATATCAAGTCACAATATTAGTATAATTAAGATAAAGGCATATGTCATTAATTAGTAGTTATTTTAGTATTACTCTATAGACTAAAATAATTCAGACTAATTTAGGCTTCTTTGCTTCCATTCAAAATTACACTTGCTATTTTCATCCTGCAATCCTGTTCAATTCAATAATTTTATTTCAGTTAAGTCTTACTAAAAGTTTAATGTTAGCTACTACCATGCTGTGATGGTATGTATTCATATACAGATATATACATATATATACTTAGAAGCGTTGATTAACCCTTAGGAGGTTATTCTTGAGAATAATAAATATTTATCTTAATTATTCATATTTGCAATCTCTGTATGAAATTCTTTTTACTTCTGAGATGTACAACCTAATTTGCATATTAATTTTATTCCACTTTATGACAAGGAAAGGATTATGCCAAAATTAGACCTCTCTCGACAATACTTCTCTTGAGAGGATTAACAACAGCAGTTAGTGTCCTTAATTTCAAGCTACTGAGAATATAAATTAATAATTCACCTGAAACTTTTTGTCTGAGCGAAAATGCATAATCCTCATATACTCGATACTAATATTTTTTCACAAGTATTTCTTACTTTAAGAGTTTGCTAGAAATACTTTTAGGCTTAGTCTGAGAAAAATGCTTAGCCATTATCAAAAATTATAAAAAATGAATTATTTTTATTCATTAATAAATAATATTTTATGTAAGCTTGCGTTCCACGTATGAATAATTAAAAAATATCAAATGCTTATAGAAAATGGTCATTTGAATTTATAGCAAATATTCACGCAATAGTAAAAAAAATGCAACCTTTTCAGCGATGACAAACGAAATAACAAATTAAAAAACGTTTGTAAGTAATTAAATTTGTGCTAAAATTAGTCAAATTTAAGAATAAAAACAAACAAAATTCAATTATGGAAAAAATTTCTTTAGGGTAATTCTAAAAACGAAAATTAGAATGACTGAAAATTACTTTCAGTTATAAAACGGAAAATTAATTTGGAGAAAGCGCAAATTGTTAATTAAAAAAATTAAATTAAAAATAAATCAAAAGCAATTATGCATAAATAGCATTGAAATAGACATGAAATTATTATTCATAGTAAATTTAAAAATGTGACGCAAACGTATTGATGACATATTATACGTTACAAACGTATTTACGTGATAATTCAAAATGACGTAATTACGTTTATGTTTATTTGTAGAATGAATTTTTCGACTAAAAATTGTCATTTTCAAGCATGAGAAAAGCGAGCAATGAAATTTTTGAGCTATTTTTCACAACTTCAACACTTTTTAAGGCTTTGATGCTTTGTGAATAACTTTCCTTTGTCCCTCAGTTCAGTTTTGTTTTCAGAATTTTAAGGAACTTTCCAAGCATGTATTTATTTCATTTATAAATTCTAGAATAAATAGACAAAAAAACAGAAATTTGAAGTGTGTATAATTTAACTTTTTAATAAAGCTAACACACTTAAGCGTCAATACAAAATATCGAAAGTAAGACTAATCTTAGTCTCAACTAGTAAATTGCTTATAAAATATGGATTTAGCTTTGATTAGAAATTATCTGACATTTAGCAATGATAATATTAATTCTTAAGAATTTCCTGAAATGAATAAGCTTAAAATTATCAATTACTGTAGCAAATGAAGTAACATTTTTATGAATATGCAAATTTTGCTTAAAAAAACTTGCAGATATTTTTAACAAATTGTTTATTTTCATGCATTGATAATGACAAAAACTTTACAATCTTGGCCGAAAAGTTTTCCGCTTACTTAATTTTTTTTTTTGAATAAACAAATAAGGCTGAATAACTGATGAAAAACCTTTTTTGAGAGACTAACATAATATTTTCTGCACAAATCTGGCAATAACTTTTCGTATTGACTTGTAAAACATTTATTCTTATAAGTATAGTAAAGTTATGTTTGGTGCTGTCAATAATATTCAAATATTTAATTTACATATAAGTCTTTAATTCAAACTTTTTAGATAAATCAAAAAAAAAAAGAAGAAAAAAGTGAATTTTTAAGAATTATATTGTAATTTATTAAAAATTCATAATTTCATTTGAATATTTTTGCATAAAATTTGCTTCTTTAGCAATTTGAATTTGTAGCTTTGCTTTCAAGTTTTTGTTTGATAAAAATATACAAAATTTTATACCTTTTTCTTTGATATATATGTGTTTTATAATGAATTACAATTTTACTCGTAAATTTTAGATTTTCGTACCGTTGTGAATCAATACTGCTTAGGTTTAAATAAAAACTTTTTTTAAAAAAAAGGTTATAAAATTTAATATTCGATTAAAATTATTGCTTAAATTAAAAAAGACAGAGTCTAAAAAGAATTATTTAAATAGATAAAATTTATGCTAATCGCAGTTGTTTTTGCGAATCGCAGCTATTTCTGCGAATGGGATATGCATGAAGTATGCAAAAAACTTTGAAAGTTATCTTTTACAATTTTATTACACTTTTTCAAAAATTGTAAAATTTTTTTGTAAGAACGAACTCATTAACTTCAACTTTCTCTGAGTTAATTAAGAGTTAAAAGTAAGAAAAAAAATTGGAAATTAAAAAAAAAACTGCAAAATCGATTTAGTTATTATTTATTACTTTGAAGTATTGAATGCAATAACTTATTACACTAATAAATTTTTTACATCGATTAATTTTTAAATAGTTACTTACTTACATACTAATAATAATAATAACTTAAAGTCAGTGCTAGCACTTATACTTTTAGTATAATTGCTGGATTTTTAATTTAAAAAAAAAGATTATTTGAATTAAAGTAAGGCTTTTAGTTACAATCAAAACGAACTCGAATAATTAATATTCGAAATTAATTCGTATAATATTGAAGCAAAAATTGATTCAAAAAAATGACAACTTCCGATTTACGAAAAGTCTTGCAGGTTTCAGCCAAATTAATTAGCATATGCATTTTTTCACATTTAATTAACTAAAACACAAGCAAAAATGAGCACAAAAATTAAATCCGACGAGTGCATTTTACATGAGATTAATGTAATAAATGATGTCATAGTGATAAAAAATAAAAATACTAATGCACTTAATTATTATTTTTTCAAATTATTACAGAATGTGCTATAACTTTTTTGCCAGATTTTTCCTTTAAATTTTTTCTATGATATAAATTATTATTAAAAATGTTCAAAAACAAACAAAATTAAGCATTTTTGATGTTTTTTTTCGAATTTAAACTAATTATAAGCCAAGGGGTCAAGTAAAGTTAATTAAATTAATTAAGACTAGAAACTGATGATTGCCATCACAAAAATCCAAATGAAAGACAAAAAATAACACATAAGTTACCATGTCAAATTATTGCAATTAGATTACAGAAAGAAATTTATCAAATTTTATTAAGAAACCAAACTCTATTCATAATTCTATTCTATTCATTTATCGATTTATTAGTAAAATTTGAAAGTTTATAAAATATATTTCAGGTCAACAAGTATTTAATTTTAAAAATAGCTGAAATAAACTCATCAATCGCATACATGAATGAATGAATCTCTTTGCGATAGGCCTAATTAGATTAGTTTTATTCGGTTTTAAAATTGAGATGGCAACTAATTAATTTAATTTAAATTACTTTTTGATTAAAAAACTTTGCTTAAAATACAGCGAATGAATTGTGTGATTAACAAAAAATTGCATATTTTTATTAAATTAATTTAACATTTTCACTTTATCGGCTAATTTGGCGCTTAATTAACCTTTAACTAGTATAATTTTTACTTCAGAGGTGAATAACTCACGCACGGATTCTTTCAAATTCAGTTATTTAGAAGTTCATAAGTTAGCAAGCTGATTTTATTTTAACTCGAATTCCCGAGACTTCATCAATTACTCCAAGAAATTTGATAAGTAATTTTATTAATTAGTACAATTTGAATTGTAAAGTTTACACATAAATTTGTTTACAAAGAATTTAGTACAGTATTGGAGTAGTAGTCAAATCAGTCTTGATCTAATTATGATAAGGGAAATCATTTCATTCAAAATATTCAGTAAAGGATTAATTATTGGATCCTGTCTGACTAGCGCGAGAGTCGGTTAATCTCACAGATGGCGAACGCTGACGATCACGCCCTCTTTGCTTTTGTATTGGAATATTTCGCGTTGGAGTTGTCGGTGGAACATTTTGCTTCCGCGCACTTACAGTCAAAATACCGTTATCTACAGTATCAGTTCATTTAGCTTCTAATTATTTAGAGTTTAACAAACATTGCTAATCAAACTTTTGTTAATAATACAACGATAGTCCTTTTTAGGATATTATCATTATTTTCATAATATTAATAACGCATAGCATAATCTTATTATCCTTACTTGATAAACATAAAGTCCCTTTAATGAGTCATTTAAGAATATTATATCGCAAGCACAAAAACTGACTATCGTACATTTTTGTTACGCAGTAAATAAGTGATTTCAATTCTATTTCATAAAATAATATTTATTTAAAAAATGTCAAGTGTCAAATTACTATACTATTTACGCTACAAGCAATTCCAAATATTTAGCACTCTAATGCCAGGGTACTGTAGATTTTACTACCGAACAATAACATATTAGAGGCAAAAAAATAAATATATATCATTCAATAATACAGTAATTTATTCAAAACCAATTTACAGTATTTATGAATGAAATTAATCAAACTTTAATTTGTAAAGTGATGCGAACGTTAGTTCACTACTCCTGACTGCCAGAAAGCTTTAATATTTTAATAATATTTAAAGCTTTTTATCAAATCATACATCGTCAAAACAACAATTTTTAGCAAGCAAAAACCTTTTAAAGACGAGGTCAAAGTAGCATAATCGACATCGGGCGGTAGTAAGTATTTGCGAACAAAATGTCTTTCAATAGATCCGTGTGGATCACGTCGTTGATTCTGATGACCTTCGATGATCAGTTCCTGATGGCGTAAACTCACTTTCAAATCTTCTGGGTGAAAATGAGAAACATCCACTTCCACAGAAAATTTTTCTTCATTATTCACGATCTAACGAAAAGAGAATGTTAATTTATTTGAAATATTAATACTTGCACAAATTTTTTTAACTTTTTAAAAATTTTTGCGTGTTTTTGTTGCTTTACTTTAAAAAATATGATTTGTGATGATTTAGTTATTATGTGTTTGATAAATTGATATTTAAATCATCATAATTCTTCTAATATTCGTATTTTCATTTTCTCAGAACTTTTGCTGAATTATGTCAATGAATAAGGAGTTCAAACTTGAATACTTGGAATAAATTCCTGTTTCTAAATTAAAGTAAAGTAAAATAAACTAATCAAACTTGTCCAATTGCACTGCCAAAATTGCAGTCATAAGTAGATGAAATTCCTGCTGGACTAGCCGAATCTGTCCACCATTGCCGTTGGTCAAAGCTGCGATACAAATTATCAAAAAAACGTCTGATATAATCGTTAAAAGTTGGAAAGCTATCTGCTGGAGCTAAGTGACAGGTATGAGGTTGTAGGTCACGTTGTCGTTCTGAGGGACTCATCACGAACCTTAAATATCTAAGATACCAAAATACGTATTATGCTTGATCTGATTTAGAACTAACTTTCTGCTTCAATTTATTTGATCTCACTTGGAATACTATTTAATTCACACTTTACTACAATAATTAATTTTCTCAATATGTAAACGTTAGTTCTCAATACTTTGAACAGTAATTTAAATTTTTTTTAGAATGAATTTCATATCAATAAAAAAGTTTTATCCTTTAATAATTAATAACAAATTCTTTTTTCACTTAAAATTTCACAAACTTTTGATTAGAATACCAAACCAACCACTTGGAGCAGATATACTTTAAAAATGTGATCCATTTACACTTGCATTTTTGTTTTCATATTGTAGAATTTGCATCTGCCATTTCAATATGATCAAGCAAAATCTGCTGATAGTGACCAATATGCAAATTAGAAATTTTTCTGACCACTACAAAAATTTATTTTTACTGAGTTAAATGGAATCAGTTTATGTTTTCTTTCCAAATACAGTTCAAAAAAATATACTTATACTTTTATTACTATTTTGAAAATGTTCTGTTATTATTTAAGCCAAATCAAAGCATACATTATTGAATAAATCTCGTTATTACAGTCTAATTCAAATAGGAAAGATCAACACAAAAAGCTAAATATGACTTTTGTATTTTTGTAAAATAATATTTTTATGAAATAAAGTGATAAAGATTTGAAGTCATTTTTTACTTTATTCTCAAATTTAGTACCATAAATTCAAAATCCATTGAATCCAAAAACTTATTAGCCAAGTTCTTCATGTATGTATTTAGTGTTTGTCGTTCAGTTAATGCAATTTATTATTCATAAAATGAATTCAATTTGTGAATGTAAACAATTTTATAAAAATAGACTAAAGTGAATTTTGCTTTTTTTCATATTTCTATTCGCAAATATTACTCACGTAATTTTTCTTTGATAATAAATATGAATGATAAAAAATAAGTAATTGTCAACCAAAAAAGTATTTTATTTTCTTTCTATAGCCTTAACATTATTATACTACAAGAATGCAATAACATTTGTCAAGATTCAAAATAACTTGTTCTTAAATAATTATAGCTAACAGTAACTTTCAGTTGCGAGTTACTTAACGCATTATGCAAATAAAATATTTTTTATTCTTTTTAATCACAATAAATAAATAAAAGTGTACATGCATATTCAAACTGAGTTGAACAATTACATAGTTGACTTCTGACCGGAATTATGTAAACTAATCGTATTTATTTTATTGCATGAAGTAATAAGCATAGTACGGAATTATGTAAACTCGTAGAATATATTTACTTGGAGGGAACATAGCAGAGATCCATTCAGCAATACGATGAAAAAATATTATTGACCTTTGAACTTCAATTGTTTGCTGTTCTATCGTCCTCAGACTCCTGAGACTTTTTAAAAATTATTATTCAATTTCTCACTTCAAAAAGAACAGTAACAAGCATAATATTAAGTGCTATTTTAATAAAATTAAGAAAAAATTTTAAAGCTAAAAAGCTAACAAATAAAACTTAAAGTTTCTGACTCTTATAAGCGCCTATTTAAGACAGTTCAAATTGTCAAAAATTTCTTCCACATTAATAATTATGGTTTTAAAAAATGATTTTTCATTGCTACCATCTAATTAAGTTAGCAATTATCCTGATAAGTTCTGATAACGATTACTTATTAAATTCAATCAAAAGTTATTTTGTTTATTTTTAAGGCCCATTATTGAAAATATATTTTTATGCATAAATAATTAATTTATAATTTTAAATATGTATTTTTGTACGATTTAATAAAAGACTAAATTCAACTGATAATAATTGAGTTTTAAATGATAGATTTTGTGACAACATCATAATAACAAAGCCTACCAATCTGAAATGGCATTTTGTGGTGCTTCTGAATTCTCAGTTATGCATTTGGCAACGATAAAATCTTTTGTGCTTTCTGTGATATTTACAAATTTTAACAACGTGCTACTAAATTTTGCAGATAAACCACCATCAAATTGCAACAATGCTGGAATAAATTCTTTTCTGCTCCAATGCCATCGCCAATTACTAATCACACTGAAAAAAAAAGTTATGTTAAAAACCGATTGCAAATATATTCAATTTTATAATATTCAAAATTATATACTTCATTCCATATAATCAGATATACAAGTACAATTTTCGAAAATTTGAAAGATCGAAATTGACATCTAAAGTAATTAGAATTTAAAATACAATTGATAGGTAATTTAATTTTATACTTGAATAATTAATTTATTCAGTGCTAGATAACCTTTACTTTTGTT